CCTGCAGTTCTCTACTGTCTTTAAATTCATACAAGTATTGTTCCAATTTAAGTGTAAGGATGTATCACTAGTGACCAAGATCAAGATAATTCATACCATATTCCCCCATTACTAAGTATTGGTGTGAAAGCTGGACCATAAGGAAAACTGATAAAGTTGATTCACTTGAAATCTGCTGCCGGATGATTTACAGATCCCATGGGCCATCAAAAAGAGAAATAAGTGGCTTCTAGATGAAATCAAGCCTGAACTCCTCCTAGGAGCTAAAATGACCAAATTGAGACTATTGTACTTTGGTCGCATTATGAAAAGACAAGTGTCACTGGAAAAAGACAATAATGTTAAGGAAAGTTGAAGGAAAAGATGAAGACCCAACATGAGATGGATTGACTCAATCAAGAAGCCACGGCCTTCAATTTGCGAGATCTGAGCAAGACAGGACATTTTGGAGATAATTCAGTCATAGGGTCACTGTAAGTCAGAAGCAACTTGATGGACTTTAATACACACACACATTGTTCCAATAAAATAATTATTTCCACATAAAACTTTGAATTCATTGAAATATAAAATTTAAAATAAGATTGATTTGTTTTTGTTTTCTTCAATCAAATATTCCAGTTCAAATACTTGTTGCTATCGGGACATAACATTAACGTGATATACTTTTAAAGAATATATTTTTGTAAACATTTGTATTTTGAATTACTCTCAAAGTCAGAAATGTTTTAATGTTTTGAGGTTTTGTTTTAATGTCCCCCACTTTGGGGACCCTGACTTGGGTGGAAATTTGACATATAAATATAAATAAAATAAATAAGTATTTTGAGTAAGACCATTCTCTAGGGCACTGGATCATTTCCCAAAAAGTTTTCCAATTCTAATTTTTCTGGAAAACCCATATCAGTGCCAACTGAGCAGAATGCAGCCCTCTAGGGGCTCAAGAAAACTCCTGGTTTTTGCCACCTGTTAATGAAAGGAAGAACAGGAGTGACAAACATCCTGGCAGGCTGCAATACATAGCTGGAGGGCTGCATTCCATTGCATCAGCGACAATCTGAGCAGGCATTCCCATCTGAACATCTTGGGGCCTGTGCACGACAGAAAGGAAAAAGCAGCCTTGGGGGCAAGCAGAGCCAATAGAATCGAGTTGTAAAATAAACAACTTTGCCATATCCTTCGTTACAAACACTGCCTATGGGACCTCAGTCAAATTATCTAAGGATTCCATACCTCATGTACAGTCAATACAGCATTGTCCTACAATGGTGTTTCCACCCAAAGTGGGTCTCAAATACTGCTATAATTATCTGAGAGGGAAAAAGATATAGTGAATAGCTCAGTAAAAGTGTCAACCCCATCTGCTGCAGCAGTGAAAAAGGCAAATTCTATGTTAGGATTAGGAAAGAGATTGAGAATAAAAACGGTCAATATTGTAATGCCCCTGTATAGATCTATGGTGCAGCCTCATTTGGAATACTGTGTACAGTTCTGGTCACTATATCTCAAAAAGGACACTATGGAGCTTGGAAAAGTACAGAGGAGTGCAACTAAGATAATTAGGGAGCTGGAGCATGTTCCCTATGAGGAAAGGCTGGAGAGTCTGGGACTTTTCAATTTAGAAAAGATATGACTAAAGGGGGACAAGATAGAGGTTTATAAAATTATGCATAGGGTAGAGAGGGCTGACAAAGAGAAATTTTTCTCCCTCTCCCAAAATACTAGAACTTTAGGGCATCCAATGAAACTGATGGGCAGTAGGTTCAGGACAGACAAAAGGAAATACTACAGAGAGTGGTTAAAATGTGGAATTCACTGCCAGAGGATGTAGTGATGGCCACAGGAATAAACAGCTTTAAAAAGAGATTAGATAGATTTATGGAGGATAAGTCTATCAATAGCTACTAGCCATGGTGGCTGAGGGGAACCTCCTCATTCAGAGGCACCTAAGCTTCTAAATGCCAGAGCCCGGAAGCAACATCAGGATAAGGCCTTGGCCTCTATGCCCTCTTGTTGGCCATCCAGAGGAACTGATTGGCCTCTGTGTGAGACAGGATGCTGGACTAGATGGACCACTGGTGTGATCCAGCAGGATTTTTCTTATCTTTTGGATAGGAGAAAATAAGGAGAACAAATAGAGCAGCAGCCCTAGCTAAGAAAGACCTAATAAAGGTTAAAATGTAAATAATAAAATTGGGGTCAAATGATAGGTTCAGAGTCTGGAAAGGCTGACTATGATTGGAAAACTGGAACCCAAAAGATACACTTGTGAGAATAAATATTACTATCAATTTAATTTACGAGCATTTGGCCTACAGAACCCTCATACATCACAAGGCCATGCTATCTCCCTTTCTACTTTACACAATTAACTCCTACATTATGGAACTGGAAACTCCAGGTGTAGCCAGTCACGATTAAGCAACAAAGCCACATCTTTACAAATGTATTGTCCAAAATGAAACTACAACCAAGACCTAAAAAACAAGTTACTCAAGCATTATGACTTAGAGTCTGCCAACAGCCCTCAAAACAGGGAATAGTCTTAGAAGCAAACCCCCCCACAAAGGAGCACCACTGAAACAGAAGAGCCAGTCAGAAAACAGAGGAAGAAAAGACTAGTAGTTTGACTCTCTATAAGATGATTTCATATCCTTGGTTCCAGTGAATCTACTATATTCCAAACCCCTGGGCATGTGCCAACATTTTGGCACAAGCCCTGCACAGGGATAATCAAAACTTTCAAAATGTGTAGATGCTAACCGGAACAAACAAGCTTTGCACATCCTTGCTCTTGAAATGCTGCTCTCTATGATAGCATCTCCCATTCCCTTAAATTAAATTCAACAAATCCTTTCCAAACCATCCAGACTCACTTTGCCTGTACTACCCTTACCACTACACTCCCTGCATAATATTGAGCACTCTACTCTACACCACCACACCACCCTGAGCCGGCCTTGGCTGGGAGGGCGGAGTATAAATCTGATAGATAAATAAATAAATTACTCACTCCCTGAAATTCCTCTGTAGATTTTCAGCTCTTCAAGTAAGGGCCATTTCAGTTAATCAACAAACATTTGGGAGTACTCATTCACAAAACACTTTTCCTTTACCTTTCTCATGAGTTCTTAGTGCCCATCACAGAATAGCTTAAAACACAGCTTTGAAAACAAATTCATGGACATCAAGTTTTTAGTCCTGATAGCTAAACATAATCTCCACATTCAGAAGTATCATGTCTTTGAATACAATTGCCTGTGGGGCAGGCAACACAGGATGCCTTCTGCATCCATTCCCACCTGTGGACCTTTCCAAAACATCTGGACCACCCAAGATTGAAAAGAGGACATGGAGCCAGATGCACCTTTAGAGTCTGATGCTGCAGTAGTGCAGTTCTTACTGTCTGTCCCAAAATAGTCTAAAAGTTTAGATGACTTCAGATAAGGATCAGCCAGATTCATGGTCTAGCAACAGCATTATATGGCTAAAGGGAATCTGTGCATTCAGCAGATTTCTCAGCCTCAGGTGCTTAGCGGCAAACAGCAGAAGAGGCCTGTTTGAAACTTTATTTATGATGTTAGATTTTTGTCCCCTCATTCCTGCAAAAAGATGAGAGCAGCACCCGCCTCACAACAAACCTGTGCGGTGGATTAGGCTAAGATTGTGCGTGAGGGGTTGAAGATCACACAGCAAGCTTCATGGGGTTTCCCCAGTCCTAGCCCACAACTCTTATCATTATAACACCCTCGATCTCTTAGACATTATTTTAATCAGACAATATGATGAGGGCCATTGCCTTAGATGACTTTGAAAGGGATTAGACAAATTTATGCTGAAGAAGTCTAAGGGCAGCTATTAATTATAATAGCTAAAAGGAGCCTCCATGTCAAAGACAATGCCTCAGCAGGGAGGGCGGGGTACAAATCTAATGAATAAATAAATTAAATAAATAACATACCACTGAATAAGAGGGTGGGGGCAAAGATCTGCTTGCAGGCCTTCTGAAAATATCTGGCATGCCACTGTGGAGAAATGGATGCCATACGAGATGGCCTAGATGACTTCCTGAATTCTTTCCCAACTCTAGAAACTATATGACTGAGAATTCCAGAAAGGCAGCTGTGTTAATCTATAACAGCAAAATAAAACAAGAATCCAATCGGCTCCTTAAAGGCTATCAAAATTTATCCCAGCATAAACTTTCATGACTCAGTGCTCATTTCCTACATCTGATGCAATAAACTCTGATTTAAGAAAGCCTGTGCTGGAGGGAAGGATTATGACTGTCTTTAAGGTGCCTACTGTATTCCTGCTTGATTTTATATGAATGAGAGAAGACCATTTCAGAGCATAAAATCCATTCTGGGAGAGCCAGAAAGATGGGAGAAGGTTAGGGGAAGGAGAGACACCCCTAGGAAAGAAGGGGGAAAGTGGCTTGGAGCAGAATAAAGACACACGCGGGAGACAGGTGGGGGGCTCCCAGAGGAAAGGGTGCTACTTGCCAACCCCCTTCTCTCTCACACACCCCACCTTCATCCCTTCGTTCTTCTCACCTGGGAGGCGGCGCCGGGACGGGCAATACTTGGCAGCGGCCGTGAAGCGAGTCAAGCTGCCAATAGCTCTGACAGCTGCCGCCATCTTAGCCCAGAGGGGAGGTCGAGAGGACTGCGAGAAGCGGAGGAGCCCCTGGGAGGAGGGCACGGCAGGCAAGGTGGGCGGGGCCTTCTACTTTCATGGGCGCAGCAGTCTCATGAGAGGACTGTCTTGAGCAGTGCCTGCCTACAAACGTCGGCACGCCACTCTTTTACTCAGCGGCCAGTCTTTTTTTTAAAAAATCCCTTCTCTCTTTTATAAGCAGATTTTTATCTGGAGACACTGGAGGTATGTCGGGGGAAGGAGAACATTGGTTAGGCAGCGGTTAAGGGGCCCATGTAGAACTGTAGAGGCGGCTGGTAAGGGGGCCTCAGTGGAAACGGCGCTTTTGAGGGCAGAAAGGGGCGGGGTTTTGGGGGTGCCAGGCTGTTGAGGGGAACTTCTGGTTGCTTCAGGAGCAGCCGCTGCTCGCTGTGGAGGAGGTAAAGACGGCCGACGAAAGACGCAGCTGAGTTTTCCCGTTCCCTTTTATCCGGAGGTTGTGAGTTCGAATTTCGCCATAGGTTATGAGGCGGAGGAGAATGGTTGCTCTGACGGGCTGGGGAAGGGGTTGGTAAGGGGTTGTGGGCGGAGTTTATGTCAAAATACGTGTGTATGGGGTACAATCCAAGGAAAGAGCATGAGCTCTTACGGAAACAGGTCCATGTGTTATTTCTGTATGGTTGTGAAACGCAAGCCGTATTTGTCTGTCAGAAGAAAACCACATAGACTTGTAGCACATTAAAAACCAACTAACTTGTTGTAACACATGCCCCTTAAATTATGAAGGATGAGTAGGCTGAGGGTGGGCTGTTAGCTGGACATCTACAAGAACTTTAGGCAACAGTGGCTTAGATCTACTGGCATTTCTCTATGCATCGAAGGATTTCCCTCTGCAGAGCCAACTGTTTTTCCCCTTCCCTCTGCCACTGCAACCTAAAATACTCCCTGAAATGTTGCTCCCAAAGTGGATTTTCAAAAAAACTTAGATTTTCTAGCCTGGAGGAGAGAAAAAACGGCTGTGAGCTAAATGTTGAACAAAGGAGGCTGTTTGTAACCATGCTTTATAAATAAAAGAGAGCTTTGTACGTTCTTTATAAATGCAAAGTTGCAGGAATGTTTTGCTGTTCAAAGTAAAAATAAAACATTAGGTTGTAGGGAATAAATTTAAGCATGAGCTTGAGTAATTCAGTGAAACTTCATATTCTTCTAAAAATGAAAATTTTTATCAGAGACTAGCTCAGCTTAGTTGCAAACATTTAGCTTTTGCAAGACACTATTATATTAACCCAGCAAACAAAATAGAAGCAAAAAACAAGTTTCAACAAATTGTAGGGGCATATTCAGCAATTTTATCTAAAGAAGTGAGAAAGCATCTTTTCATGCACAAGGGAGGGAGTTGCATCACTACAGCCTAAGATGAGGTTGCAGTTTCTGCCTAGTGGAAGCTTTTTAAAGACTTGGCAGTGGTCTGAAAGTCATTCTAGCTGTGAGCTTGACTTTCTTGGATGGGCATGTGAACTGGGCTGGATGCCCACTATGAATGTTGCTGACACACCAGCAGAGTTAATTACTTTTTTTTTGTCCTTCCTTTCCAGGGTTCAAAATGACATCCATACTGACCTGTACTGTCAAAACCCTTCCAGCTGCCACAATGTGGACTGCCCGATTCTGTAAGTGCTCTTCCTCTGCATTGGTGTAGCACAGAAAGATTCCAGAACATCTGACTATTTGCCACTATCTGAGTTTCTGTGCACATACCTTTCTGTTTTTTTTCGCATGGTAGCACATAGCCCAGGAAGATTGATTACACACAATAGGCCTCTGTGTGTATGTATATTAAGTGCTATCAAGTCATTTCCAACTTACGGTGACCTTATGAATTAATAACCTCCAAAAGTCCTGTTGTTAAAAGCCTTGCTTAGGTCTTGCAAAATGAAGGCTGTGGCTTCCTTCATTGAGTTAATCCATCTCATGTCAGGTCTTTCCTCTTTTCCTGTAATTTTTGTATATTCTGGTGAGTTTTGTCTTCTCATAATGTGACTAAAGTATGATAGGCTCAGAACTTCTAAGGAGAGTTCAAGCTTGATTTGATTTAATACCTAGTTGATATTTTAAAGTGCCATCTTTCATAACAGTCCAAATATTTAAATGAAAACTTTATTATTTTATTTTTTTCGGTTTTTGGTATGTCTAGATGTTGAACTCTTTCACCTTTTATTGGAAAGTTGAGAAAATATTTTTGTTTTAAACTTGAGTATTCTTCTGTTTTTCTTTCGTTTCAGCTGTGAGGTCATTCAGTTGTTCACACCAGTTAAATGCAGCAGGTAAAGCAACAACATACAGTTATTACATCTAGATACATAGTTAAATGAGAGCTTTACTTGCATGCCTGTGTCATCTCATAAGTTAGAATATGCAATCAACTTTTTTTGTTAACAGAGGGTTACTTTGTTAAAGCTGTAAACACACAAACTACTTTGTTAAAGCTGTAAACATACAAACATCCTAGGGATCTGTTCTGATAATGGCAGAATCTTCCTCTGATGAAAGAAGGTTCTCATGTTGGGAGAGCACAAGCATTGGCTGAACAGATCCACAGGATTCAGTCTCTGGTTCCAAAACTAATATGTGAGAAACACAAGCCGGTTCGAAAAACACATAGATGAAGAAGAAGAAGAAGAGATTGGATTTATACCCCACCCTTCACTTGGGAGTCTCAGAGCGGCTTACAAACTCCTTTCCCTTCCCCTCCCCACAACAGACACCCTGTGAGGTGGGTGGGGTTGAGAGAGCTCTGACACAAACTGCTCTTTTTCAAGGACAGCTGTGCCAGAGCTTGTGACTGACCCAAGGTCACATCAGCAGGTGCAAGTGGAGGAGTGGGGAATCAAACCCGGTTCTCCCAGATTAGAGTCCGCACACTTAACCACTACACCAAACTGGTGCATCCCTTTTCTCCTGGGTCATGTTTCCAGATTTTGTCCCCTTGCTGTGATCTTTATTTCCTGTTTGTATTTCTTAAACTGTTTTAATAAGTATAAATGTGCAATGCAATTTACATGCATACTTAAAAATAAATCTAATTGAATGTTTTCACATAAACGTGTTTAGCATTGCAGCCTTAAGTTGCTTATGACTAAAGCAGTTATCCATTTTCCTTTTAAGGCAGCAACAGCTCTCCCCGCCCCTCCCAGGGGAGCTTCTTTGGTTCCAATATTTTAACTTATAACTGGTTATTTATATTTACTAAGTTATTAAGAATGGTGTGTAGCACGGAATCCAAACTTGCACTGAGACCCAGCAGTGGCTTATGGGCATTTTATGAGTAGGTGGCTGTAATTGGAGCTAAGACTTGGCAAAACCACGCTTTTTAAAGAGAACATTAAGCAGAAGTTTTGCTGTAAATCTTTGTAAGCTGTATCTGGTAATTGGGTGACATTCTCTTTCTGCAGTTCAGCCCAAGACTAAGAAGACTTTAGCCAAAACTGGGGTGAAGAATATTGTACTGGTGGATGGGGTTCGCATTCCGTTTTTGCAGTCAGGAACCACGTAAGTATTGAACTCTTTCTTGAGTTAAGTAAGGCAGGGAGACATCCTACATCCTTCAGGCATTCATTGTGTTTTCTCTTCTTTAATCCCAAGGTATGTAGATCTGATGCCACATGACTTGAGCAGAGCGTCGCTACAGTAAGCAGTGTATTGTATTAAAGGGTACTGTTCAGAGATGGATATGTAGCAATTTAAAGTAGCCTATGTTTGTCCTCCTGTTCCTGCTTCTGGGCCTGGAACAGCCTTCTTCTTTGTTGACCAGGTTCCTCCTTCAAGTCCTTCCTTGGTGGAACCTTTCCTGACCCATTTTTCCTGCCCTGCCCTTCTGGAATGAGATAACTGTTGTGGGTTTGTCAGTTTCTATCTTCTTTGCCATTCCAGTCATAAGCCTGTTAAGCAAGGATCTTGGTCTGACCTGAGGATGCTGTTGCTACTGACTCAGTGTGAACAAGAAGGTTTAGAATTGGCATGTCTGGCTTCTTTTAAAAAGGCTATATTTTGCCTCAAGCTCTGTAGATTCTGCATGATACAGAAATGCAAATAGTCTCAAAGCCTTTTTAGTGGCTGGTCCAAGTCTGGCTTAGTCTGAGACAGGAGCCTCTGGCCCTTTCCACTTTCTGTCCTGGATGCATTTGTTGACTTCACTTCTGCCAAGATCATAGCAGAATGCAGATTGTCTGTTCCCCAGATTGAAAAATCAGTAAAGCATGTAGGATTGGCTCAACATTCAAATGATTTCTTATATATTAGTTTCTTGCAAATGAAATGAATGGTGAGAATGGCATGGAAGCTAACATCCGTTTTATAAAGGTGTCAAAGAGCAGATAATTTCTCTGTCTATTTGTGGCCGTATTTCTGATTTATTATGGCACAGAGGATTGCTTCATGTGTCACTCCTTGGATACTGAGGGTAATCTGTATGGGTAAAAAAAAAGGATCGGGTCCTACTTGCTTAGTTTTACCTGCCTGCAACTCTGTACTGTGTTTCCTCTTAACAGATTCCACTCAGGACGATCTGCCAGATTTGATCTTGTAAGCTTTGCTAGTGGTTCACAGTGTCAGAACCAGTACACATGAAGTAGCCCTGAATGCATAGTGTAATTTTTGGCCAGGCACATTCACGTCCCTTCTGTTGCAGACTCAGCTTTGAATAGAGGTTAGCTAGTGGTTCTTTTGATTGTGTGAAAATAATTTC